GCTGGAAATCACTAATGGAACTTTGGGTCAGAAAGTGGTACTTTATCATTTACTGCAAAGCAGGGCTGAAATGCAGCTTTGGTTCTTCAGCTGGATGTTCACAAAATCAGGGGTCGTTTAGGACAGGAAAATTTGCTTATGGGTGCCAAATATTTCTGATTCAATGAAATGGTCTTCCCAGAGATGAGGTATTTTTTCCAAGCTGGTTTCTTAATATATCTCATCTAAATAAGAGAAATTAATCTCCTTTAAGCATCACTGTAACTACAAGAACGAAATTAGAAGCTAATATTCACCCAAAGGACACAGCTTAATTACCTAAAGATGAACCGTTTAAAATAACTTGAAGAACATTTAGGACATGTTATTTTAAACCTCTCTTACAGTTCATTTCTCTGCATGATAACTTGGCTTAATTACTTATCTCAGCTTTAGTATCAGATCTGTAAAAAACCCCGTCTGTTAATTTTAAACATGTATCAGCTATCACAGCACCAGAAATGTGAAAATTCAGAATAGTATGGCTTTCAGAAAGAGCATTCCCCCTCTCTTTCTGGAGCTCCTAAATCAGCTTGGCCCATGCACTCATCACTGGCTAATTCTACAGCCAGACTTGTCAAAGTTTATTTCTTTTTTCAAAGTCTTCTACTTCATTCAAGCTACCAACTGCTTACAGGAGGCAGGGCAGCTTTCCAGAAGAAGGTCTTTATTTAAATTGCCATGCTTCCAAAGTTAGGAAAGAACATAGTGTTGCACTGATGCTATTCACCTCAGCAAAGACTTTCTACCCTCAAGGTTTCTCTGCTTGCTTGCACGGACACAGATGGCAAGTTTCCACGCCTGGCCATTCCCTGGCAGACACTGGGATTTCTGACAGACTTAACTTGTTGACATAAATCATAAAATGGGAGGCTGAAAATATTTTGAAGCTTGGAAAAGTGTTTACGGTGTACATGCTTCCACACATGCACAAATTATTCATCTATCTTTCCCACATAAAATGTGCATATATTTACAAACAGTTTGTTTAGACTCCTTTCTAGACAAAACTCATTTACATACCTTCTTCTGTGTGTTCTTCAAAATATCTCACAAAACAGTAACACATAAATAGCGTTGAGACGCAGTGTAAAACCTAGCAGTGATTAGAACATGAATAAACTTCTCTAGTTCAGCAGTTTTACAAGAAACAGTTCCAGGTTCTTTCTCACAGCCCAGTTTTTCTGCAACAGAGCTATGAAATACAGGAGAGACACAGAGAGCCTTAATTTTCAATAACAGCTTTCTGTGACTGCAGAGATCTGCTTATTTGTTCTAGGCTTCAACTCACCATTCTTGCCTTGAATTAGCAAAAAGTGAAATAGTGACAGTCATTATTTCCCATCCCACCTCTCATTTTCCCTGTATAGAAATTTTTTAATGTTTATATAAGCATATATATTCGTGGGGCCAGATAAGGATTTAGGAACCATACAGCAAAACTCCTGAATCTCAAACAGAACCTCTGGTCTCAAGGTTTCCACAAACAGCTGCCCACATCCAGCACCACTTCAGGGAAGGAGGAGTGGGATTTTTAAAATTCTCTTTTTAAGGATTGTTTAATGCAAAACTGCAAGGGTGAGAGCAAGTACCACCATAAAAACAGAGGCAGCTACTCCTTCTGTGTTCAGATGAGTGTTCCTCCCCTGGGGAGAAGATTCTCTGAGCTGGATTCTGGTTTGGGATAAGTGCCTGGCAGGGGCTGTCATTTATGCCTGGAAGCAGGGTGGAGGTTTCTATCATGTCTTTACATAACAGTTTGTTATCAGTAAGATTTGGATTGACCTTGAGAGTTGCTCAAAGGGCTGCAGGTCCCACATTTCTCCAGGGACAGGCCCGAAGTTAAAGGAAGACTGAGTAAGGGCAGGTCCTTTGGAATCAGCATTCACAAACAAACAGATAAAAAGCCCAAACCAACACCTCAAGCTGGGCGGCTAAATGATAACACAGAAACTTTAGAAGGAGATTATAACTGATATTTTCATCAGCGTTTTGGTAAGTCACAGCCTTCAGATAAAGCTCATGTCGATGTGCAAATCCTATAGCAAAATTCCCTTTTTAACCAAAACAAGAGAAAAATTTATATAACGCAGCTCCGTGGGGAATTTTTCTGTGACAGTTGACAGCCATTAGGCTTGTTTGATGCTTATGAGGGCAGACAGCTCCTTCCCTCACCCGCCACTGTTTAACTTCTAAATTTGTGCTCAAAATCCGTTTCCAGCTTCAGCTGCTTTTTCTGGGTTCCCTTCATTTCTCTGACTAATCTTAATGTCATTTTAATGTTTTCATAGGCATGGTAAATTCCCTAAAAGGACAAGTGGGACAAGGAAGATATCAGAGAAATATGCATTTCACGTATGCCACACGATGCTGTCCTGTTCTGGCTGCTTAAATAAGGGCCAGAGCCTTCTTTTCCTGTCTAGTATTTTTGTCTTAACAAAGCCAGTCCTTTTTCCCCCCCCCTTAAATGCACACAGACTTACTAACACAAAAAGGCTGCCACTGAAGCACTGTGCTTATGTGGAATCATTGTAAATAAGGCAGACGACCTGATCCTGCCTCCAGCAGGAGAAGCTTCCACTGCTACCATGAGGAGCTCTGTACATTTTTTTTTCCATCCAGACCAAACAAAGAACAGCCAAGCTCTCTGAGAACTGTTGACTGAAAGATTTTTGGAAGCCAATGATCTGCTCTCCAATAAAGACACCAATATCTACACCAGATTACAGTCAAATTAAACTGGAGAGGGGAAGAATTGGTGTTCAGAATTGAAGTCCTCTGCTAAACATTACAATACCTGAGGTCACCCAGGCACTTACCTGTTCTCCCTTTTATAATTTCATCCAGTTAACATCTCCTCCCCTACCAGCTAACTGGTGTGTTAGTTACTGTCTAGGTAAACAATACATAATGTTTTAATCTTTGTTCAAAGTTACGGAAACAATAAATTCCAGCATATTCATCTATTTACATACTCCCTGTCCAAAACTGTATTACTACAGTCTCCATACCTTCTGAATTCCAATTGGAGTTAAGTAAAGTCAGGTTCTGATTTGTTAAGACTACTGACAGATTGCTAAAATGAATTTTAAACACAGACTGTGTGTTCATGAAAATATCAGATCTTTACTTCTCTTAATTATAATGAAGTTTACAAATACTTATTTCAAAGAGGGAGTCTTTCAGAAAGGACAGAGCTGTATTTCTTAGAAGTACTGGAGGTGGGGGCCTCACTTCTTTCCTTCAAAGCAGCAAACAGGATCAACCCTCTGAGAGCAGGTATACCATGCCCAGACTGAGAACACAAGGCACACAGAGCACCAAACAAGGACAAGCCAAGTACTGCAGAAAATTATCAAAGATCAACTGAAAAAAAAGATGAAGGGAAAGAATTACACCTAAGCAACCTGACCAGTAAGACCTTAAAGAAGAATGTGGCTTTTAAGTCAATTAACCAAAGTATGTTCAAACCAATATGGAGTAACTTCTGGAGCACAAAAATGAATCTTCTTTGGGAATTCAGATTTTTATTTCTTGCTTACACAGTGTCTAAGAGTAATTATATATAATGTCTGCTTATTAATCATATTTAGTTATATTTCAGTGAATTTTTATTTTCTCTTTTAGTCTGTTTACTGATGAAAAACAACATATTTACTATTGATGTATAAAATCTGAGTTGTGATTCTAAAATTATAACACCCCATAAGACAAACAGTCCTGCTTCTTGTCCCTGAGTAGGATCCTGATGCTAGTTAGAAGAAATGTCCCAGATTTAGAGTGTTGAATAGCAGTGACAAGGTACAGGTAAAGATGTAAGAAAAATGCAAATTTTTTTATTTCCTCCTGGACAACACTAACCTTGCCTGACCTTGCCTCAAGGATTTACTCCTCTAGGAATTAGGCTACTGTAATTCTATTTGATGCTGTTCTAGTCCTTGCACTGCTCCCATCTGCACAGTATTTCAGTGGTTTCCAGGTCCAGCATTATAAGCAGCAGGCTCAATGCTATTTTCTTTCTTTCTTCGTCCTTCTGTAGGGAAATAGCATGCAAAACTGTATTTCCTTTTATGTGAAAATGGGCTGTCTCTTTGTCCTTAGTGGACACTAATATACCATTCACATGCCATGTTGTCATTTCCATACCCATCATAAACAACTGCTTTCTTCAAAAGATATCTTAGGTGAACTTATCTTTAGAACTCTGAAGAAACAGAATTAAAGAGTAGAAGGAACTTGAACAGGAAAAAAATCTGTTCTGCAGGTCCCATCACAGAAATGCAATTCTACCCAGATGCTCCACATGATTTATCCACAAAGGCACATTTTTCCTGAAGAGCTAAGTGTGCTTTCTATAGGAGGAGCACTACAGAAACATCACAAAACACCCACTTGCTCAATAATGAATAAACACTCCCAAGAATTCCAGTCCTCTCATCCTTAAAACCAGAACTGATCACAATGCTAAGCCAGAACACGAACTCTCTGGAGAAGACAATGTAATAATTCCCCAGGATTTTCATTCTGAAGTTCAGAAAGCTGCTGAAGTTCGTTATTAAGGCTCCTCATATCAACAGATGACTTTGCAATTAAGGATGCTCAGCCCAGGAGTCTGACCAGCACACAGAATTAGTCACACTTGCTGTGAGGAGAACACACCAATGTGAACTACACAGGTTATTTAGGCGAGGAAAAGAAACGAAATGGGCCATCTGTGCTCTCACGGTACCAAGTTCTGTGCATTATTACAACCAGACAGAACCTGTAATTTAGAACACATCAATAATTCAACTGTTGTCAAGTGCTCAATGAGTTCGTTATCTTCATTAAGCACTTCAATAACAATGGTATTAAGCTAAAACATAATTTGACTCCTCCAGCCTGTCTTACAGCAAAAGGGACAAGAAGCCAAGTACAAGCACGGCAATGAGGGTTTCAGAGGCATATCCTGAAGGACTTACTGTGATGATCAGCCCTTTCTCCTGGAAATATTTCACCAAGGGGACGACGTTCTGCTTGAAATTCATGAGTCTCCTCTGGGTGGCTTTCAGGTTATCATCAGGTCTCCCCTGCTGCTCCGCACGCTTCAGTAACCTCTCCTTCAGCCTTTGGCTGGAACATGCCAGGAACACCACCAAATCCGGGGTGCAGATCTGTGGGAAGAGCAATTCCAGGAGACTGGTTAAGCTGAGTATCCAGCACCACCCGACTCAGCGATTCCATTGTCATGGGAGGCTCAGATACGCTACGATTTCATAAGCTGGAACTTGATGAAGCCATTTGTTTTCTGTTGTTTGTATTTTTTAAGGGACATTTGCAGGCTTAAGGAGGAGGTTGATCAATTTGCTTCGCCTGAAACGCTAAGGAAAAAGTTTAAGGAAAAAAATTTACCTCACACCAGCAGCCTTCTCTAGACTATGCTCATCATTGGCATTACCAGAAGGTTCCCTTAGCTAAGTTTTTTTAAAAGAGCAAAATAGGAATGTCCCATACTCTGCAGGAAAATGGTTGTATGGTTTCCATCTAAAAGCTCTTTAAATAAGGTGTTATTTCAAATCCTGCAGCCACTATGAAGCTAATTGATGGCCTGGTCCCAGTGAAAACAGACCTGTTCCAAGAGCCACAGTTCCTTAAAACACTTTCTTGGTTCCTCTAAATATCACTAAAGCTTAAATGCCCTTTTCAAGAGGCTGGGTGTGGCAGTGAAAAGGATATTTATTTCCCCTATCCTTTTTGGTCTGTGTGGTGAGCCCTGGCCTGTGTCACAGCCCTCCCTGCGCTAAACTTCAGGAAGTTCAGCCTTCTGGCAATGAGAAATTTCTGCTCTTTCCCAGTTAAATCTTCATCCTAAGTTTTGGTTACTCGTGCTGTCAAACAGTTAAAGAAGAGACACCTCTGGTCTTGATGGGGAGAAAGCAAAGACAGCCCCACTTTCTCAGGAACACTGCTAAATGTTCACCTTTGGGGGTCACCAATATTCAGTACACGTGGTGAAAAAACCAGAAGCCCTGGAATCATGGAGTCAGTGAGGTTGAAAAAGACCTTTAAGAACATTTGAGTCCAACCCAGCACTGTCAAGTCCACAGTAAAACACGTCCCTAAGTGCCACATCTACGTGTCTTTTAAACACCTCCAGGGATGGTGACTCCACCATTGCCCTGTTTCAAGGCTTGACAACCCCTTCCATAAAGAAATTTTTCTTTTATTCAGCCTACACCTCCCCTGGTGCAACCTGAGGCTGTTTCCTCTCACCCTGAAGTCACTCAGACACTTGAATTCACAGGATTTTAAAAATGGGGCTGCAGGTGTATATGAACCACATTCATAAGATCTGGTTTTGTTCTTTCCTCTACCTGGCTGCTGCAAAGAAATCCACCTCTCTTTAAAGATTTCACTACCCTAGTGCTGCCTTTTAAAACATACCAGAATTCTCTGTAAGAAGCATTTAAGGTAAAAACAAACTGTTCAAGCTTTTATCTGCTTACAGATTAGAAAGGGTTTATTTTGTTCTCACATACAAGCACAAAGTCATTTCTGCTGCCTTTACTTACCTGAACAAAAGATTTCATACTTTAACTAATATTAGTAAAATCATTCACTTCCCACTCTAGAAATGACATAATCTCCTTATATTGCAAATGATGGTGGATGCTCAAGAATGCTAAACAGAGATTTTTTTCTTGATGTTTTCTATCTACAGAATAATTTTGTCTCTGTTCAGCTTGATATGACGTAAATTTGATAGTCAAATTTGAGCTATGCAAAATTATCACTAAAACATCCACATGTATTCTAACTACTACTGTGTAAACAGTAAGTGATTTATATCTTTTTGTTAATTATATAGTTGTTACTAATACATTGCTGTTGAGGGCCAGAACACCCCAATTAAGCTTCTGAATACTCTCTATATCTAGGTCCCTCTACCCAAGGATGTTAAATTGCATAAAGACAACCCTATTCCTAGTTTGAATAGTCAAAACTTCCCAGGTGGACAATCTGGAAAATTAATAACCAAGTTTTAAAAAAAAAAAAAATTCCATCCAGCTGGTTTCTGTCATTTGAGGAAATGCAACTTTTAAGTATGGTCTGGCCTTTTTTACTGTCAGTGTGAGCAGAAAAAGGTTCTTAGGAAGTCAAAAGAAAGAAATACAACTTTTGCAGCCTGGGGTAATGTTCATTAGCCTTTACAAATGAGCTCGCTGACAGGGTAGGATATGGATATGAGGAAGCAGAAAGTGGTGAAAAACCAGAGCCATTTTCCAACAGTGAAGGGCAGCCTGAAAAGCAGCACCAGCCAGCAGGATGGTGGCCTCTCTATCATTACAGAAAATTAAATAGGATTTTAAAGAAAATCCAATTATTTTTTACACACATTGTAGATGATTGGAGACATGAGCACACAAACTACAAAAACACTAGTTCTGGTAATTATTTCTGAGTATCTATTAGATTTTGAAACAATTAACCTTATAACCTATTATTTTTAAATAACTGCCAGTGGGAGAGAAGCTCTCCCCTACCTCTAACACACATACCTCAATGTCAACAAAACCAGAGTAATTCTTCCTTCCCTTTTCAGACTATTGTAAATACACAGTTGACAAAGTTATTCTGTCCTTCCATGGATGAATTAATTATGACAGTTAATTTTACTACCACACAGCAGCTTTAAGGCACATAATTATTCACATGAAAGACTATGAAAGTAAGTTTCTGTGTTAGACTTCAGTGCAACATGGACATTATTAAAAGCAAATCTGTTAAATTAAGGTTGCTTTGCTGGTAGTAGAAGAATAACGAGGAATTTGGGAATTCAAAAAGCATACAGTAGGAAAAAAATCCCCAAATTATGACACAGATGGATTCTGAAAGAAAACAGTGGAGATTTCAAAGCCTGTTAGGTCATGGAACAGTGTCTCATGAAAGGGAATGGCTGCTGCACCTCACAGCAGGCTGAGCACAGACACAGCTCCAGTCCCAGGGTGCATATCCAGCTGATTGAAGCTTCCTAAAGTACATCCCACAGGGACTCTGAAATTGCAACTGCAAATCAGGGACCTGGTAAAGCGAAGGACAAAAGGAGTTTATACAAGTGAGTAGTTTTATTTAATATTTCCATTTCTGTGGATCCTAACAACAGTGGCAGAAAGATGCCCAAGATGCTCCAAGCTGTATCTCCCTTCCAGTGCTCCCTCCCAAGCATCTCCAGGACTGCATCCACCCAGCCTGTGGAGTCACACCAGCCCTCCCCAAGGGCAAGACTTGAGCTTTTGTGTCCACAAGACTTCACCTACAGCATCAAATCCTACAGAGAGCACTTACAACACACAGATCACTCATGAAGTTATCAGCCCTGAAGGAAAAAGAGGCAGGAAACCAAAAGAGCTCCCTTGTTTCACACAAACACGAGAGTGCAGCTTTCCACAGTCAACCTCAGTTCTTTAAAGAAACTGTGGCTGAGAAAGTGCAGCCCCCCAGGAAGGGAAGGATCTCAGTGCCCTGGTTGAAGGTGTGCAGGTTCTCAGCTGCTTCCAGTTCCCACAAACTGCACTTCACATTTAAGAAAATGGAAAAGCATTCCCTGGGCTTCGTTTCTTTTTTTTTTTTTTCCCTAACTGTAAAATGAGGATAATAACAAGGTACATCTTGAACAAATAATTAATTAATTAGGTTTAATTATTTCCTTTTGCTTTTAAAAATGGAAAGTTCTCTACAGGACCTGAGTACTCTTGTTGTTGTTTTTTACAAGTAACAGCAAGAATACAAAAGACACTATCAAGAATCCCAGGAACTAAGACTACTTTTTTCTGACACCGTGGATTTTGTAATTCAAAATATATTTCACTCATAGAAATAAAATGTCAAGGAAGACAATGTTTTAAAATTCTCAGTTCAAGAAGCCTGGTTTCAAACAAAGCACTGTCTGAAAAATTTTCTGAAGTGTAGAAGAAATTCAAGCATATTTGAGGAAGGAATACAAAGCAGATTCTGATTATGTGGTCTCTATGAATTCATCTTTTACCTGCACAATATGCATCTTTATCATCAGAAAGTAATTGAAAACCATGTCATAAACACAAGATGCACAAAAGGGTAACATCTCTCCTACATCCACAGGCACACAGACCTAAGAGTACTTAATATATTCCTCCTACGGGTATTTACAAGGAATACAACCTTGAAATGCTATTGATATTTCACTGCTGTTTTCACCAACCACTCTGCTTCCACTTCCCTCAGCTGCACCTGCCTGCAAGACATGCTTATGGATACTCTGAGCTGGAATGGAACAGCCTAGGGTGAAAATATGGACAGCTGGGATTACTCCTCTGGAAGCATATCTATTCTCCTAAGTAAATATGAATACAAACTGCTTTTTTCTAACGAAGGAAAATGACTCATGTGAAAAGAAACTTCTTTTTCAAACTCAGAACTAAGTGTTGTTGAGTTTTATGGCAAGGGAATAAGTTTTATTCCGAGACTCAGCTTGTGGAAAAGGTGCAGAGAACCAGCACAGTCAGAAGAACTGGATTCCTTCCTGCTGCTCTCCCACAGCACACACATATGATGCTGAGGGCAGAGGGGTTTATCCATGTCCAGAAATGCCTGTGAGGTGGCACGTGGGGCTCAGGGAAGTGAATTTGGCTACTTCCAAGCTGGAAGTCAGCAGAAGGGAGAATCTTTGCCAGTGGGAACAGACAGGTTTGTTGTTATTCCATTGGAACGAGACGAAGAGCATATGGCACCAACTCAGAATAAAACACTGGTGGGTACATCCTCTCATTTTTTAGAATAGTATTTACTAGTAAGTAAATCCTACTCTCTTTGGGTTTGAATCTCCTTCCTAAACTGGAACCAGGAGTAAATTGAGAGTAATTGTATGCAAGTTGATGGTGCTATTGACATTAAACAGTACAAGTGGAGAGATGCTCTCTTTTCTCTGGGGATATTTTCTACATCTCCTCTTGTTAGTGAGAATAGTGTGGTTGTTTGCTAGAAATAAGATGATTACACTCTCTCTCATTAGTCCTCATTAGGCAAAAGATGAAAATGCTCTGTTTCTTAATTCCTGGAATGTTCTCCCAGATACTCCTGAGAAAACTGACAGCTCATGACCAATTGCCATTAATTTAACAGGGCATTTTATTCT